AATAAGGTGCCGTTACTGACACGCGTGTAGACTTGACTCCAGTCGAGATCCTCCATCCGCGACGTTGTGCTCGTTTATGCTTTGGATATGGAAGCTGCCCGGCGTTAGTTGCTTTGCGCCTTCTAATTGTGTCCAGAAATCCCGACTTTACGAATCTGCCCACTGAATGTACACAGCGAGTTAGCTCATCTACTTAAGGAGGTACCAGCCAATCAAATGGGCAGGCTTGTTTTTAAATCGTTCATACATTCATTATAATGAACGAGTCAACAAGTCTGACCATTGGGATTGGTGGAAATTACATATACATTATGCCAGATCATCTAGTTCATATGTAATAACGAATAACTTCATTTCACCGACGAAGGGTCTGATTGGCTTATCTGTCTAGTCAGACTTACTTACCGATGACACACGTTGTATCTGTGAAATTTAGGCTGTCAAAATGAGGGCGTCTTATAAGAAGTTATGCAAGCGGCTGAGCGCGATGACTGTCTACTGCTAGTGACGGGTGGGCTGAGTTGGAGGCGAGGAGCAACGTCATTACGACTTGATTTAAGTCTAAAACGTGTGACGTAATATACAAAGGGCAAAGACCGCGGCGTCTAAGGTGCTAGAGAATTAGCAATTAAGCCTTTGAAGTATTTTGAAGCATTAATATATGGCGAAAGGTGTCAGAACAACGTGGTGCCAGCAACCAGTGCTAGATATCAATACAACAACTGCACACTGTTTGGGTGTATGGGGACCATACAACTTCAAGACGTTACTCTCCTGGTATTTGCCGTCTCTGTTTCGCTGTAGGCCTTCCCGCCGTCATTACTCTGTCCCTATGCCACAATGTTATCAATGGTCAATTGTGCACTTTCCACGGTGTGGAGATGTACTCTGCCTTCCAGCAGTTGGAGGAAGCGGGTGCCGACGTTCTTGAAACTCAACTGTGCCCGAGGGCCTGAAACCATGGTACCTCTTCTGAAAGATATTAGGAGAGTACTAAAGGTAAATGACTGGCTTTGCATAGGGCATCTATAGCTTTAAGTAAACGTCAGATAATGAGTAACTATCCCACTCTTGTTTGAAACGGTCCCATTTACAGCAATTTTCCAATACAAGTTCAAATTCCTCTTCAACACTAAGAGTGCAAAACTAAGTTGGTTATCACATTTTCCCTTGTGAGGCTTCGGATCTTTAGTTAATCAGAGTGACATATATAAACACATATGATAGTGCTTTTGAAAAATCCGCTATGCAATAGAACCTGGGTACTAAAATGTAAACTGACTCGATTCCTCTATAGAGATAGAAATATTTAGTTGACCAAGACTGTGTCGACAGTTGCGAAAGTACTGCGTCATTGAATGTGTGCACCAGGTTCTCCCCCGGCTGAGTTACACCACTGGCAGCCAGGCTGTACAAATAGATCATCAATTGGTATTTTTCAGGTCCCAATTGCTGCCCTACCAGTGGTGTATCGAACAACCGAGGCTGCCCCTAACATGCATGCATTGAAAGATCCATTCACAGGTACCGTACTCTCTTTGACTGGGTAGTGGTTACTTAATGTCTCTCCCTATATTGGTATAAACACATATATTTACTTCAACTTTTTTGGATAAAAGTCCTTTTTAGGATGGGTTAGACTATAACTAAATAACCAAAAAATGTGGTAATTACTTAACAAGTTTTGATTGTAATAGTACACTGCAAAGCATGGGCTCCGTTTTGTTTCATTTTTTACTGAGGAGAATTCTTTTAAAAAGTTCTTCACTGGCAAAATAAATGCAACCTTGAATTGAGTCTTAGACGTTACCAAATCCTGCATACACTGGTTAAAGAGCACTTATACATCTTTCATTAGAGCATCACCGAATGAAAAGTTTCTTATATAGGTCTTTGTTGACATTCCCCTGTGCTGGGATCGCAAATTAGTTTGTGTAAATACCAAAAAACTAAGTTTGAGACACCGATTTTCAAAAACATTGTATGTCGGGAGGGGGTCTTATGTCTTTACATTTTTTGCTATTAACTCTTGTGGGCCTACGAAGTTTCTGGAAAGGTTACATAACTAAACTATTCCAGATAATCTGGAAAACTTTTAGTTATTGTAACATTTCCAGGTGGTACTGCTTGCTGCCACGTGGTATTTATTTATTTATTTATTTATTTGGAGGGGGGCATTGCTCCAAAACTTCCCTCTTACCAGCTCTTACCAGACACGCAGTACTCCGCAGCTCAGAAACAGATTTTATGTTGCCATTGAATTTGTTATTTAGCCATTGCTCATTTTATGAAGTGTAGAAAAACAAATACAGCATGGTTTACTTCTGAAAAGTAGTGGGAAATACTCGTCACCTTGGGACCAGTATAATACAGAAGCGAAACATAACCTTGGTGTTGACTCTAAGCTGTTTTGCTTTGCACCACTTCACAGGTAAGCGACTCTTCCCGACCAACTTGGACTGTGCGGCCTGCTCTCGAGACGGCATAGTGGCCTTTGGTAACCAGTGTCTCGAGCTAGGCATTCAGTATGTCGGTCTGTGTTGCGGTAACGCCCCACACTACACCCGTACTCTCAGCCATGCATCGACACCCAGCATTGGGGGAGGAGGGCCCAACGAGATTTGGCAAGGATTTTCCAGATCCCGTCCACGGGTTTGAATCCAAAACCTTAGAGCGAGCAGTCTTTCTATTGTACCGTAGAACGAATGATGGATGAACTAAAAAAATATATTTCAAATGTTAGGTAATTCTAATTCCTTAACCTGTATGTGTGAAGAAATTGTATGGTCAACATATTTAAGAAAATCAAATAATTAGAAGAAAAACCTTGAACAAATTTCGAATTCGGGCAATATTTATAATCGACTTCAGTTCAGGCGTTGTTCTGGAGCTAGACCCTCTACTGTGAAGCCACATTGTACCTTTCGCTACTGCTCTTTCTCTTTGGGAGAAAAATAATGTATTTCTTGCATAATGAACCTGAACATTAATAAAAGAATACTCATTTAAATTATTTTGAAAAGGTTATTAATGCATAGTTGCAAATCCAATATTTAGCAGCCTTTTTAAGGGGGACCCTCCAGAACTGCGCTTTGTTCAGTTATACATCAAGTGGAAAGACAAAATACTACGAGAGCTTTCATCGTTTGTTTATTGAACATTGTTTGATTTTTTTTTTGCGCAGTACAAGTTTCATCTAAAGCGACTTCTTCCCTGCATAATTCACATTACAGATTATTACAAATTTTAGCAGTCAGTTATCTTTTCACACAGTAAGCTTTTAAGGGAAAGTCGAATTAAAGTACATGTAAATTAATTTTAGACTGTTATTCTTAACGCAAGTGTTACAGTACAAAACAATTAATAAGCAAATCTTTATTTTAATTGGTATACATCTGCGCATTAAGATTTCATTGTATATGAACATAAATATTTATTGTGTATCGTTTAATATATTTGTATAAAATATTTTGGTTGCATTGGCATATCATGAAAATACATGTAATAAGATAAAAAAAAACTTGAATTAAGTGGAGTAATATGCTCAAACCCAGTCACATTGTCAGTGTAAAATCAGCTAAACTGCTGATTAATTCACTGTACTGTGATTTAAAGTAGCAGTTTTACAAAGTGAACAATAATCATCTGCTTCATACGATGAAAATTCTTCAAATTAGTAGCCCCAGGTCTTTTAGGGTTGATCCTGACAACTGTAAACAGCGCCCTCTAGTAATCGCAGTTTAAGTGGCGAATAACGTACTCTCTTCGTGCTCTTGGAGGCTGCCACTCTTACCTACCCTTAAGTTGCAACTGCTACTTTGTAAATGGGCCCAGAATACCCTCCGCTGCACTTGACCTAC